TTCAGACGTGTGCTCTTCCGATCTCCCCAAAACCCCAAAACCCCAAAAGAGAGAATAACAAGAAAATATTAGAAATCCATCTCTGTAATTAATAATACATAAATAATTCACAAGCAAATATACAGCAAGAATCCTGCATTTTTGTGATATAATGAATTCATAATGTTATTGAGCAAGTCAAGGGTTTTCACTCATCAACACATCTAGGTGTGCCATAGTGTTCTAAGCAAAAGTCAGTTGAGAGGCCTTTGCTTAGCAGTCTCTGGCAGTTTCTGCACTCGCTCTTGGGAGTCTCTTTCCTATTATCAACGCTTTACTCTTGTTCTAAGAATACATCCTCTTCAACATATTCCACTGTTCTAAGGAGATGTAAACCTTTTTGATTTGTGTTATAGCTGGTTTACTTGCCAGTACTGTGCTAGTTATGCTGACTCCCGAATCTTGGGATTGACCTTGATTGGCTATTACTCTTCTTTTAATCTTATTGGGCATTGCTGCTTGTAATCACGTTAGCCACACTAGCAGTTTTTGACTGACTTATGATTTATGGCTGATAGTTTGAAACTACAGATCTATTCTGCGCCATAAAACTTTACTATGAATTGATCGTTTGATTTAACGATTATTTCTCACTAATATGAGTATTTGCGATTGATTAACTGCCTTCAGTTATGCTGTTCATCACTTGCTTACCTTTTTCATGTTTAAGCTGAACATACTCTTTTGGCTTGTTTTACCCTATTCTTAGAGTTTTATTTACTATATTGTTCTTAAGTAAGCTTGTAGGCTACTATTTCTTCTATTAGACGGCTACAGCATTACTATTATTACTCTTAGTTGAGACTGGTTCTTTGAAATTAACCTAGCTTTAATTAGAATTGGAATTGTTAGAACTAACATCGCTCACTTTTTTCCTATAGCTTGAGCACTCACTAGTCAGCTTTGAGGATTTACTCTGAGATGTCGAGGGCACTTAAGAAATATTATTGTTCTTAATTGATGATATGCTGCTTGGAGTATATAAGTTCAATGTGGAATTAATGGGGTATCCTCCACTAATGGTGGACTGTTAGTTATGAACCTGATTAGCTGGTCTCTTATCAAACTTGATCATAGATTTACCGACAGAAGACTTCCTTAGCATTTCATATTTATTTGTTACAGCTTGCACTGTATTAGCAGTATTATCTTCTATTGTTTGATACTGATGACTTACTGCTACTGCGCTTTACCTTTAGAATTATTCACTCTGGCTATTAGAGCTTTTCTTGATAGGAGTCAAACTTCTACTGTCCACTCCACTCTTTTACTTAGAGTGATAGCTCGATTTACTTTATTAAATCGTTTGATTTTGCTGCTCAATAGAGATCGAGGACTTTCCCTAACTTACTCCTCTATTGTTGTTGTTAATCTATGAAATATTTCTAGTGTTCATCATTTAATCATATTTCATATTCTTAGTCTCAATCCTGCTTTGTATTTCAAGTTATTTTCTTTTAAGTAAGTCATCTCTTCTTTTGAGGACTGATTTTGATCTGTCCATGTAGAAAGCTTCTGGGTCAATAGTGCTAAGATTATATTGTTTCTAGTACTGTAGTATTGCAGGTTAGGCTACTGTAGTAGTTTACTTGTCAATGGTGCTCAGCTATTCATGAATTGAAGAATTATTGTTGAATCTATTTTATTGATCATTCTTAGTACTACTGCCTGGATTCACATATTTTCTTTTGGTAGTATCACAGCTTTGAGATTTAGATTGGGTGTTATTAGAGGAAGTAGTTGGCATGCTTTCACCTCTGGAGTTATAGTTAGATTAATCAGCTTGTATCTTTTGGAGTGGTTTTTTCAACTGCTGCATACTTCTTCTTTTCAAGTTTGATTAAATCTATTGTGGAGTTTCTGGAGCCTGCTTATTATTTGAATTCTTCTCAATAAGCTTGTAATCATGATAATTTGAATCGACTGGACTCATCATATAGCTCGAAGTTTGCTATTCATACTTAAATGGAGTTTGGAGATCAGAGCGATTGTATTCAGAATACATTCCTTTTGGTTGATTCTCAGTCTTGTTGAAGTTGGAGAACTAATTGTTATCCTCCTCATCCAATCTGTAGTTTTCTGTTAAGCACTGCTCAAAAGAGAGCACCCCATTGTTTATCTGGAGATTAATGGCCTCATTTGAATCTACACTGTATCTTGTTTATTGGAATATTGGTTTTTATTCTGCTTTCCTTGGCTTCAATTCTGGTATTTGACTTTTCATAGTGGTCTCTCCATTAAAGCTCAACTCATTAGCCAAGAGTTCAGGCTTTGGCTCTTGAGTGAATCTAATAGGCGATCTGGAAGTGTCCTTGTTCTCATCTCTAGTTCTGTTTGAGGCCAGATAAGATGGTCTGGAAGATTAAGGTTTTTCAGATATAAGTTGATTTAATAACTCCTCAGCCCTTTTAATGCTTTCACATCTATCATTCTTTAACTTCTCACTCTTCTCGAAAGAATACAAGCCAAAGTAGTTTTCAGCGTTAGTGATACCCTATTTACGTTCTTCAATCAACAACTCTAAATCTTATCTTTCTCTAACTAAGCATGAACTATCTCTGCTCATTATCTTAACAGAACCATTATCTTGCTCCATATTCTTGATATCTAGAAATAAATCATCAGAGTCTGAATTTATATCTGATTTCTATTTTAATTATGTGAATCTTTAATAATGCTTCCTGATAGAGTTTTTCCTTTCATCTTCATCAGATTCAGGCTCCTCTTATTACTTTAAACCCTCTGCAAGTGATTTTCTCTTAGCTAGCAACTCAATGGTCTCCATTTGTAAAGGATTTGAATTGTATTCGCTCTCTAATGTCTCCTCTCTTTGACTATAAGCAGGATTACTATACTTTTACTCCTCTTGTTTAATAATATTATTACTCTATGCGGCTCCTCTTACTGGGGTTCTTGTTTGGCTTTTCATACTTCTACTATTCACTCTATACACATCTAAAGGGGATTTTTCTGTTGAACTTCTGTTTTCATATCTGGAGTTTACATTTTCTCTACGCTCTTTAGTTGTCTGTGAGCCTGAATTCCTTATATTTATTGGCTGTTATTTTGTATGAGACTGAGTTGTGAATTCCTTTGAATATTGTTGCAGTTTTTGGCTTCTATCTCTGTAAGGAGAGTGCTTTTGCATTGAGTATACTTATGAATTAGTACTTTTGGTGTTATCATAAATTAATGAGGATTTTATAGGACTTTAAGGATCATTTTCAAGGTTGATTTAAGACTAGGAATCAGTTTATTAGGTGATATCAGTGACTTGGAAGATCTAGCATTGAGAATAATTAGCGTCTATTTATTATGATGGAGATGTAATTCTAATTGGCTTAATGAAACTATCCTCTTGTTCTCCTGTTAGCACATCTTTTAACTCTAAAAATGCTTCTCTTAAATTATTCATCAATAATTGATTTCTCTCCTCAATGGGTAGTTCAGAGTATTCGTTAGAAATCTAAGGTTAAAGCTTTATCCTAGGTGGAGTTTACTAGATTTAGTCCTCTTCAAAAGTTTAGTCGATTTCAGTTACTTATTCTAGCTTTTTAGGACTTGGAGAAGCTGGATCAGCTTTCTTAGTGATAAGCTAAAGTATTTTCTATTCCTCCATTGCAAACATTTGCAGTTCATTCTTGAGGTTGCTAATTTCATGCTCGTAAAACTGCTCATATTCGTATTTATTTGATCTCATTGTTTCCATTGCTTGAGGCATGAGATCCATGCTATTAAACTAGCTTTCAATGACCTTTTTCTCTGATAAATCATGCTTTATATTTACATTGATTGGGCTCTAGGTTCTTTTCTGTTCACCGAAATCATGAGTCTGGTATTCTGAAAGTTCATCTTACTTTGAAGGACTTGCTGGATCACTCATATCTTAACTTTCATTCTCAAGCTCTTCAAGCATCTTAGCATATTTTATCTGAATCTATGAGGTATCCTTTGGTGAGTTCTCCAGTTCCTCATTTTCGTCATTTACTTAGTCAGCTTGCTTGACCTGAGAGATCATCATAATTGAATCTTCATTCTGATTAAAAATGTCCTTGGTTTAATTCGCCTAATTGTTGTAAATCTCAATGCTGCTCTTGTCAAATACTAGGGTATCATCATGCCCTGTTTAATTCTTTCTGCAATGTATTTGAAGAGGCATCTCATCTCTAATACATGGTGATATTGATTTTCTAAGATTATGTAGTGTCTGATGCTATTGCTGAGACTATTACTGTTAATGTAATTTTAGCAAGCTTTTCATTGGAGATTTCTATCTCTGGGCTCTCTTTCGCCTACTCTTACTTGGTGAACTGCTGCTTTACAAAGTCAGGTTGAGTTCATTTCTACCAGATGTATTGAGATTGTTAGTATTGTCAAGCATGAAGCTGGATAGTTTATTTGGCGTAATGCTATTGCTTTGCTTTTGCGTCATGATGGTTGGACTTAAGTTTTCCTTGGAGTGGCTTTGAGTTGGCAACTAGTTAAATTGAATTTTAGTTTAAGTGTCCTCTGGATTTAAGGTACTTTGTTATGCTTTCTGATTTTGTTAAGAAGCTATTAAAGGCAGAAGTTCAGGAATGTCTAGTTGCTAGTTTTTGCATAGTCCAAGTAAAGCATTCTTAAGCATCTCTATCTAGCTTTTCAATAGGAGGTTTTCTTGTTCGAGATTATTATTAGGCTGAGTTGCTTATGCCTGCAAAGTTCTATTTTGTTGATCTTTAAAAGATGGCGACACTCTCAAATTAATTTCAGATGAATTTTCATCATGATTATAGAGTAATCTGCTACTATTAATGTTTCCTTTAGAATAGCTATTCTCGATATTTGTATTATTGATATTGCAGTTATTGTTATTGTTTTAGTTATTCCCATGATTGTAAAAACTGTTGTAAGACTTGCTGTTGTTGTTTGGAGTCAGACTTTGAGTTTGGTTTTGAGACTGCTACTAATTGGTCAAGTTAGAGAGGGCAGTCTCGGGACGAGAACGAGAGGGAGTGCTAGTTTAATACTGCTAGAGTTGGTTATGTAGCGACATAAAGTCTGTGCTATAATGCTACATTAAAAAAATAAATTTTAAATTATTAACGGAACTTATTTATTGTCCTGCTATAATTATAATATTTTGAGCAATGGGGTTTTGGGGTTTTGGGGTTTTGGGG